TATTGTTTTTATTTTTTTTATATATATATATTTTTTTTTTTTTGATGTGCACTTGCAATTGCCAATTAGTTGGTGTAGTTAATTGATTTTGATTCTTGCCTGTTAATTGGGCAGATAAATAATTTATGATTTTTTATCGCATTCCATCTGCAGGTCCCTTGAAGAGTGAGGGTTCGACCTTGATTTTAAGCTCGCAGACTATCCCAAGCTCGCCTTGCGGGGATACGAGCAGTATATGTACGATGTCGTCATCATTGTCTCGCCGTACCGTAAGTGAACACACCGATACACACTTTACTTGTATAGATTTCTTTTTTTTCAAATTGATAGTTTTCTTTTTCTTTTTTTGAATTGATTGGAATGTTGTTGTTGAGTGCGGGATAGACTTTGATGAGATGGGATTCAATCGGTTTACGAGCTTCTTTTCGTGCTTTTGTTATTGATTAAAAAAGATGATGGTTTATTTCTACATCTTGAAAGATGCCTGTTCGTGCTTTTATTATTGATTCGAAAAAAATGATGGTTTGTTTCTGCATCTTGAAAGATGCTAATTAATGTGCAGTATTTTCCCATAGGATCCAATAGTTCTGGTGATTGATCACGGATCCAATAGTTCTGGTGATTGATCACACGAGCTATGAAGTTTTGGAGACTAAAAGAGATTATACTTTGGTCGCTAGCGATAATTTCATTCAGTCTGAGGGAGGCTATGCTGGGCACAAAGAAAATTGAGGGAGTCTGAGGGAGGCTATTTAGTTGCATCAATAGCTCGCACCAACGTGACATAACTCTTTCCTGATATTATGTTCTTATATGTATCAGTAGCTTTTGGATCTTTGTGGATTGAAATGCTTTGGTATTAGTATTGAATGCCGAATGAAGCTTTGTGCACGTGTTTCGACTAATTAAAAATTGAAGCTACATGTAACTCAAATATGAGGAATTGGACGGTTTTCAGTCTTTCCCTTATTATCTTTACGATATCTACAACTATTTTCTAGAGATGTAATTTCAAGTCCATGGGGAGCCATTGCTTGAAGTCATTGCATGCTGATTTGTGCAGGTCCTTTGTCGTGTGGCTATTGGATTTTTTTGAGAATTTTGTTTGGTGTTGGGTTAGTTTGGATATTGGGTTTGATGATATGTGATGAATGATTCCAAAATGATATGTGTAATGTGGTCTGCATATGTGCATTTGGAATTGGTGAATTGAATTTTGGATATTTGTTTCTAGAATTTGTACATGTGTGATTGTCTTGCATGTTGAACCGACTTTTATTGATCTATTTGTTCGTCAATTGTTATAATTTTTTTTTGTTGGTAGTTCTGCTTTATTTATCTGGAGATCGTGTGAAAAAGGTTGGTAACATAAAGGATATTTGGGGTTGTAAGATGTCTTGATTTGCACTTTCGTGACTCGAATCGAACGACAATGATATGTTGAGGTGCATCATTATAGAGTTTTGTTAGTGAGATTTTGTGAATTCCCTGTAGTTTTGATGGATCAATACTAGAT